GTCAAACTAAAATGGCGCTGCAGGACGGAATGGCAACGGGTCGCGCGGAAAATAAGCCACTCGCGGCCTAGGCGCCGCCCGCGGAGAGCCTGTAGGGCCCAGTGGTGCTTCTCTTCTAAAGACGAAGCAAGTTTGCGTTTAAGCGCGTCCCAAACTTTATCAGCAACCGCACACGTGGCCTCCTTGACTTGTTCAAGACGGGGCAGGGCCTCAAGGTCCGAGGGGATCTCGGAAATGGCAGCAACCAAAAACGAACCGAACTCCCCGCGACAGGCAATCCACTTAGGCACAGAAGGGGAGGAGGTGTCTGGCTGGTATGGCTCGATACTGAAGAAGAGGGGGATGTGGTCGCTCGGCATCTTGGCCATGGGCATGCCAGTCACTCCAGGCCGAACCTTAAAATCTCGAAGTACTGCCGGCGGCAGCGAAGTGAACGCGCGGTCAAAACGGGCAGCGTGAGCTACAACCCCAGCACGGCCTTCCCGCCGCGCGTCTAGCTCTCGATGCAACTCAACGGCCTGAGGAAAGAGACGGCGGAATAGATGAGTATGAGCCCTATCTCCAGGAGACCGACCCGGTCCATCACCCTGCGGCCTGCCCTCCTCCTCCACCGTAAACCTGAAATCCCCATATCGAGATTCTGCGGCTGGCAGGCAAAGACGCGTAGGCACGCTTGGCCACGTGCGCAGCTCTAGCGCAGATCGAGAGGGTGCCGCTGGCACTGGGGAGGTGGAGGTTGAAGATGATGAGGAGCCCTTGCGGGCCGATCGAATTCGCCTGGGGCACCCGGCCTGGAATCAGTTCAATATGTTGGGTGACAGGGAAGAGACGAGTAATGCCAGGGCCCAGGATAGTAACGGCACAACCTTCGCACGGCCTATCAGAGAAGAGCGAGTGGCCCATGTCGAAGCCACCCCCAGCAGAATTCAGCTCGCGACGGAGCCCACCGACATCACCAATCGGTCCATGAGTTTCCTGAAAACAAGTTGTCTGGAATTGCCGAGCGAGGGGGATGAGAAGCTGAAGCGAGCGCTGGCCCGCCAACTGGCGCTGCGCACTGAGCTGAAAAGGCCGCGGGAATTCCGCGCGCAGAATGACAGCTCGCAAGAGGGGAAGCAGGGGAGACACTTAGAATGGGGAAAAGGCCTAGCCCCAACGCCACTGACGCTGCAACTCAGCACTGATAAGGGTGCGCGGCGATTTTGGAATTCCCAAATTACGCCGCGCTGCGGCGAGCAGTCTCCTTCAGCGCCAGAAGGGCTGGCGGATCTGCGCGGCGGCAGCCTCGCGAACCTGGCCCCTCAGCTCCGAGATGCCAACGGCCGCGAGGCCATCGTCGTGAAACTCGATCGCGGCGGTCGCGGCGCCCTCCGCGCAGTGGCACTGCGCAAGAGGAACGGGATCTTCATGGCCTCTGATCGCGTAGACCAAGCCGCCGAGCCCGTTGCTGCCGACATCGATCTTCTTCGGGAGCAGGGCGCGGGTGATGGGCGAGCGGATGCGGCCCATGGAGTGGATGAGCTGGCGGCCAGTGATCGACTGGTCGCGCCTGATGCGGAGGGAAAGCGGCTGGGCGGGCACCTGCGAGTCAGCGTGCGTGGACTGGCCGTCGCGCGAGGAGTTATTCATGAAATTGGTGGCGTCCTCGGCCCGCTCGAAGTGCAGAGTGATATTCTTGGTCATGTCGAAGGCTTTGATCGAGATGTGTCGCGCCCGATCGGCGGGGGCGTAGCGCTGGCGAATCGCTTCGCCGATGTGGCGAAGGGTGGGCTGCATCATCTGCCGAGGCAAGCCAGTCACAATCAGCTTGCGCGCGTTGCCCATGGCTGCATCAGAGGGCGAGGTGCGGTGGACTCCGTCTTCATCATCTCTGTCCATCGCGTAGGTCGGGGTCGCCGAACCTCTCGCAGGGCGATTGTTGACCTCGGCCTGGAGGATGTTGAGCCTGTCGTTGAGGTCCGTCCAGTCGGCGCAGGTCTGGCCCTCGAGCTCTTGGAACTTGCCATTCGTCTGGCGAGGGGGGTCGGTGATCTGCTCATTGGGGACATTGCAGCGCGGGACGTTCGCATGGACCTGGTTCTTTTATGACGGAGATACCGTAACTCGAAGATGCCAACTGGCGTCCCAATCCCGCGAAGGACGTGAGGAGCTGGTCGAGCTTGTCATCCGTAGACATAGCTTTCACTGGCTTCCCAGCGGTGACCCCACGGCTGCTGCGGCTGGCCGCCGAGCTGCGGCTGCTGCGGCAGCTGCTGTGTGAAGTCGAGCGGGGTCGGCGCCGATCATCAGCGCTGCCATCACGGCAAAGGTCGCGACGACGGACCTCGGCGCTGCCGTCACTGCCATCGCGGCGGCGGCGGCGGTCGGGCATGGTGCTGTGAGAAAAGAAGCAGGAAGAGAAACGAAAGCGGCTGACACCTGGCCAGGGAAGGCACTCTGAGGAGCAGCGGAGGAGCTGTTCCTGCCCAGCTGGCTTGGGCCAAAATGGCTACGGTCCGCCGCCCCCTCTGGTCTTGACACGGGGATGCCTTCGTGCTGAATCCTACGGCTTGGTGTTGATTTGTTTCAAACGGACTCCCCGTGGGGCTTCGGCCCAGCGCGCTGGCCACCCGAAAGGACCGCAAACAACCTCAACGTCTACTACGTACAACCAAACTCTCCAAGACGGCCCAAGATGGCCGCTCAGACGACCAAGATGTCTCAATATGGCGTCAATGATACCTCCAAGACAGCCAAGATTGCCCCAAGAGGCCCCAACATGGCCCCAAAATGCACCCAGGACGGCCCAAGATGGCCTCAAAACGGCGCAAGATGCCTCCAAGAGGTCCGCCAGGAGGGCCCGACGAGGCCAAACCCACAAACGTTACTCAGGTGTGTGAAGGATGTTGCCCTTTGCTTCTGTTCGGCCTTCCGACGGCCCCAGAGGCCACCAAGATCGTCTCAAGATGGCCAGAAAAGCCTCCAAGATGACCCAATGACGGCCCAATACGCCTCGAAGGCGACCCCAAGAAGGCCCCGAGACGGCCCAAGAGGCTTCCAAGACGCCCATGGTGGCCTCCAGGACGGCTCTGAAGCGCCCCATGGAGGCCCCAAGTCGGTGCAGAGAGGCCGCCAAGGCGGCTTCCGACGGCGTTAGACGGGCCAGGAACGCCCTAAGACTGCCAAAGAGGCCCCCAAGAAGCCCCCAAAGGCCCCAAAGATGCCCTAAGGAGGCTCCCAAGAGGCACCTAAGAGGCCCACAAGAATCTCCCAGAAGGCCCCAAGAGTCCTCCACCTCCTCCTCCTCTTGCTGCTCCTCCTCCTCCTCCTCCTCCTCCTCCTCCTCCTCCGCCTCCTCCTCCTCCTCCTCCTTTTCCTTTTCCTCCTCCTCCTCCTCCTCCTCCTCCTCCTCCCCATCCTCCTCTCTACTTGTCCTCCCTCTCCTCCGCTTCTTCTTTCTCGCCCGCGAGTTCCCCGAGGGGTTTCCACAACGTCTTCGGGGACATGGTCGGATGGCTTGGCAGAGGTCTAGCCACAGCGTTCGGCCACATGGGCGATTCCAAAAGACAGGGAACCAAAAAGCCCACAAGAAGCTCCCAGAAGGCCACATGAGCGATTCCCAAAGGCAGGGGGCGGCGGTGATTCGCCGTAGGCGTCTTCGATATTTTAGAAGCAAACGTTACATGCCTTTTCCGGGTGATAGGGACACGGCGCCATGATTAAAGTCACAATTGATAGTAAGGATGCGTGATAAGGATGCGAGCCCGTTGGATGCGCATGTCGAGGCTCTTCGAGCTGGACTGGCCGTCGAAAGTGGTCGAGGATGGACCTTAGATGACCCAAGAGGCGGGCATGCGAGGTTACCCCTCGGGAAGCCGCTCCCCCTTACTCTCAACGTCGACCGCATCTGTCCGGGTGCTGAGGGGCCGCGCACCATGCTTGGGCGAAGAGATCTGTGCATGTCCACCGCCGCTGGCCAGGCCCACCCTGGGCCCAGGAGCGGTGCCTACGCCCCCGTGGTCCAGGATGGGCACAGCTCCGGGGCCCAGGATGGGCACAGCTGGAGGCGGTGGATCTGTCCAGATCTCGTCGCCCTGATGGACTAGCGATTAGAAGGCCCCCAAACCCAAGTTAGCAGGGCCAAAAAGGAGGTCCAAAAGCATTAGGGATATGGTCTTTTCTGTAGATTATCAAACCAAACCGCCCAGCTTGTTTTCTCCCTGATGCAAAGACGGCGACCTCAGTGAGGCCACGCCTGCACTTTGTCATTACTCTTGTCATCGATGACTGATGATGCTGCGTCGACTTCCTTCCCCATTTCAAGTCCGTTCGGGCCCGCTCGCCCGACCCGCCCGTCCGCCCCACCCGCCCGTCAGGGTCCGCCCGTGACGGCCAGCTCGCCCGACCAGCCCGTCGAGCTCCGTTTGCCAAGCTTGGCTGTTCCTCTCTCCTCGATCCTCCTCCTGAAAAAGACCCCCCCCCTCACACAGGAAATCCCTAACCTAACCTGACCCAGGCCCTGTCGACTCTGCGCCACAGCAAACCTGACCCATCCAAGTTAACGTGGCCAACGGCTCGGCGACACCAGTGTGTCACAGGCGCGCCGCGTAGCAAAGCTGCACCAGAGTGGGGCGACACAGCAACATGCAATGCAAAGGTGCCAACTGTATCGCTGACCCCTCTTCGGCTCCAACGGAGAAACTGGCTGGCGCCCTCAAGCATCATCCCTTCCTCTCGCCCCCCTGCCACTCATTCCGCTATACGAGGCCTCCTAGATGGGGTCCGAGTGAGCAGGGGCAGAGGATCGCGCCGCATCGCCCCATGCATCGGCGCTGCACAGGCCGTACATCGGCGACCTGGCGGCTGTACATCGGCGCCGTCGGCGTGGGGAGACTCGGGCTCCACATCGAGCCGCATCGCCGAGGCAGCGGCGATGCGGCGCGAGCCTCCGACCCCACCTGCTCGGACCCCACTTGGGAGCCCTGGGAGCTCTGCCCGCTTCGACCCCGCCGAGCCCAGGCCTCGGCCGCGCCGGGCGCCGGAGGCCCCTGCCCACTGGTCGGCCTGGCCGCGGCCGCGCCCAGCGGGGGCGGCTGCTGGCGGGGCTGGCTCGCCGACGGGCTCCTCTCGGCGCAAGGGTGGGTGGGCAGTGGGCAGCTCCGACGAGAGAACAGGAGCAGGGTGTGAGGTGGGGAGGAGGGAGGAGGAACGGAGAGGGAGGAAGGAGGAGCGGAGGAGCAGGAGGGGGGCAGGAAGCGGAGGAAGAGGGATGAGGAGGTCGAGGGGGAGGTTTCAGAAGCAGGCAGAGGAGGAGCAGGAGGAGAGCGAGGAGGATATGGGAGAGGAGGAGAAAAGGGCAAGGGAGAAGAAGTGAAGCAGGAGGAGCCCGAGGCGGGAAAACGAGGAGGCGAAGGAAGACAGCATGCGCCCCCTCCATCTCCCATCCCGCCCGATGCGCCGCAGCGTCGCCGTGCCGTAACGTCGCCACCGCTGTGATCTTCGCCGCCGCTGTCTCGAACGCCTGAGGCGTTCCCGAGAACCGGGCATCCGACGACATGATGGTTTCAACCAGCGTTTTTCCCTACCTAGGCTCTGCCTAGAAGGGTTCTTACTCTGTTGCCTTAAAGGGCCGGGCAGTGGACCCCGCCCCGGGCGGTTCCCCCGGCATCCGCCCCGCGGTTCCCCCAGTTACGTCCCCTTAGCTGAGCGTTGCTTATCTCATTTTAGCTTAGCTTATTTCATCTTAGCTTAGCTTTGCTTCATCTTAGCTCAGAGTTATCTTAGCTTAGCTTACCTTCATCTTAGCTTCGCTGAGTTTTCGCATAGCAGAGCACAGCGTAGCCTAGCATAGCGTAGCATAGCATAGCGCAACATAGCATATCAGTAGCATGGGTGTAATTCCATACCTAGGCTCTGTCTAGAGGGTCAGCTTAGCTTACCTTAGCTCAGCATAGCGCAGCGCTGCATAAGTATGGCATAGTATAGCATAGCATAGCATGCCATACCATAGCCAAGCATAACATAGCATAGCATAGCGCAGCATATCATATCATAGCATAGCATAGCATAGCGCAGCTTAGCATAGCATAGCATAGCATAGCGTAGCATAGCTTAGCATAACACAGCGCAGCATGACATAGCATAGCTTAGCATAGCATAGCATAGCACAGCATAGCATAGCGCAGCATAGCATGGCATAGCATAGCAACTAATGCTGCTTTCCTGGGGGCTCCAACTTCTAGGTAGGGTCGCACTGGTGTAATTTACTCGATTCGGCCCTCGGGGGCCGCTCTCCAGGCCCAGGACCATCAAACTTGGATTTGCAACAAAAACGAGGATTCTTTTCGACCGCGGATATACCAGCGCCGATGCTGAATTAAACCTCCAAAGCTTGCATCCTAACGGGGGGGCGAGAGGGGAAGATGAAGGCAGGCGGAGGACAAGGGTTGGATGGCCCTGCATCCTGGAATCGTGTTAATTTGTGCACCAAGTGCTTTGACCTGGATGCGGGCCCCGCGTGGAACTCGCAGATCGATCTGACTCGAAATTTGCAGCAGCAGCAGTGTGGGGCTGATGGCGGCTAAGAAGATATCGCAAGGCGGGGAAACCCATTGAGGCTGTGCAGCTGGGAAAGAGTTCTCGACGACGATGAAATGATATCATTGTCAACGATGGCCACCCAACGCATGCCCGAAACACGACTTACGCATTAATCATCGATCAAAGCGCTGCTCCATGAGAGCAACCCCCTGGGGATTCTAAACCGTCATCCGCCATAGGAGGAAGGATGAGGACCCGTTCGGATGAGGATGAATCTGGAATTTCTGAGAAATGGCGGTCATGGAAAATGCATCGGGCGCCGCGGCTGTTCCAAGGTGCTTCGGGAGGGCGTTCCTGAGGGCTCTGGAACGGTTCATCCTCATCCCTTACCCTTCATCCCTTACCATTTGCCAGGCAAGGGTATCCAGGGCTGGCCCCGAGTGGGCCAGAACCCACAAGCACACCGCCTCGCGCGAACAATAAGCACAACAAAAGTCTTTGGTAATGGTCGGCTTCCTGGGGCCCCTGCTCCGAAACCGTCAAGGCACCCAGGAGGGGGTCCAGCCCTCCAGGGGCTCGAGTTTTGAACAGATCACGACGTCGGGGGTCTGGCGAGGTGCCAGAGGGTCCAAGGTAATTAAGCCAAGATGGCTCTGAGATGGCTTCAGGAACTGGTCTCCAAGATCGCACGACATAGCCCAAGATGGCTCCAGATGGCCTTCAGCATGCCTCCAAGAGGCTGCAAGGCCGACACAATACAGATCCAAGTGGCCACTGAGCTTCCCCAGGACGTCCAAACCTTTCAAAACCATTCAAAAAGCGACGAAAATCAATGATTACTACCTTCTCTAATATCTACTATAGATGTCTCCAAGATCGCCCAAGAAAGCCTGAAGAGGGGCCCAGGAAGCCTCCAAAACTGCCCCAAGAGACCCAAAGAACGCCCCAAGGTGCTAGGTGCTCCAGGATTGCTAAAAGAGGTTATTCTTGGGCATCCGACAGGGGGGGGGAGGGGGGGCGTGATTGATGCTTCTCCGTTGGGGGCTGTCCTCCAAGATGGCCCCAAGATCGCCTCCAAGGCCCCTAAGAGGGCACCACGAAAGCACCAAGAATGCTTTCAAGGCTACCAACAAGGCCCAACAAGAGCCCCAAGATGACCCCAACGGACCTGCATAGTTGGTCCCCGTACTTCTCTACTTCCCTCCTGCCAACGGCTCGCCGCAACATCGTTTCAGAATGGGCTGGTAATGATGTGCGAATCGTGAAGAATCACAATCCGTGATCATGCGCGCAAGACGGTGGCACCTCGCTAATGGCGGCCGGTGGCTTGAACAGGAGGTACAGGGAAGAAAGTAGGCTGTAGGATGAACGAGGCACATGGGCATACCAAGTGATTTGTCGAGCCAGAGGCGGATGCGACTGACGACACTTGCAGAGCGGGATGCGGATGCACCGTAGAGCGGACAAGGGCGTCAACAAGGCGCGGGGCATGGAATTGCTGACGCCCTGTGAAACAGTTGGGTCCAGGCGCAGAGGCTCCAATGCGCAAGATCATGCATTGTACCTGGCGTGGGTATCCACATGCTGGCTGTACGGGTCCTCGACGGGGCCGTTGTAGAGGTCGGCGGCGTACGCAGAGGAAGAACGGCCGAGCCAAGCAAACCGGACCGTGGCCATGCACATGAAGAAGACGCAGAAGACCAGCGCGGTGGTCACCTGCGTGAGGTAGTTCTTGAAGACCTGCTGGTTCCAGCTGGACACCTCCAGCGTAGGGTCCATGGACCACGTCAGGAATATCGGGTTGGGCGTCTGGATGCTGTAGAGCGACGCCGCCTGCTGCACGGCCAGGCGGTAGTTGGACAGGTCGCTGTCGCTCACCACGCGGATGCCGCTGCTGGCCTTCGCGCTGCCCCACGCGCCGCAACGGAAGTCGGACGCCCCGACCGAGCAGCAGTCCTTGCCGACGACCCAGTAGTCGTAGAACGCGGGCGTGGAATCCCCGGCGGCTGACGAGATGACCGGCGCCACGCAATACAGGTTGTCGTTCATGAAATGCCACGACCTGAGGACGTCGAAGTGGCTGCCCGGTGCGAAGTTGACGATGCCGGCGTCCATTACGTTGCGGGACGGGGTGCCGCTGGGGTCCACGTTGTTCGCAACTTTGAGGTCATTCACCTGGTAGTACGGCTCCGAGAACGTCGAGAAGTTTGTTTCCCCACACGCAGTCCCAGCGATGGCCGCCACGCCCACCGCAACAGCCATGTAGGTAAACCATGTCGGGTCCGGCTCCTGAAACCTCGCCCAGACGGCCGCAATCATCCACCCGATCCAGAGCAAAAAAACAGCGCCTATGATGCCCGTCACCACTTTCGGGCTGGCGTAGTTGAGCCAGAAGGACGACAGCCCGCAGCAGAGGATGAACACGCCCCAGGGGAGGAACGTGGCCACGAACATGGGCACGACGTTCATCCGGATGCGGTGGCCAGGCACGAACACGGAACGAAGCTTCTGCTCCTTCGGGGAGACGGAAGACTCGGAGACGGGAGGCTCGGGTTGGCCTGACGGGGCCATCATGAAAATCACGAGACCCAATCTGAAATTTGACGCGAGCTCCCGCTGCAAACACCCCACGAAAACCAGACCGTCAAATCCAGGACGCGCTCGTTAAACAACTTCGGCACACCCGAGTTTCGGCTCACCCGAGTCTTACGTTTCCCCGATCCTTCTCCATGTCGAGCAGGGGCTGCACCTCGTCGTGCTGCCGGTCGTCGTACATTGCGGGCGGACCGTGGTGCACGACCGCAGCCGGCGCCCGGGAGGCCCACGCGGTTTCGCTAGGCGGATATGGATCGGCGGCGAGCCCAGGAGGGCAGCGAGAGGGGGCAGGCCCTCTCCGAAGCCACAGACGGCCTCTCAGAGGGCCCGAGGGCCTCTGAGATGCCCCGCCTCCCTCTCTGAGAAGGCCGGCCCCCCTCTCTTTGAGCAGGGACCGACCGTCCCGGCATTCCTATAGGCCTCCCACGCAATGTTCTAACAACAAACAAGAACAACAACAATGTTCTTAGCACAAAATTGATTCAAAAGACGATGCATCAAAACAAGACGGTCTCAGCCAGAAATGTTCTGAGAACATTTCGTGCAAGCCACAAAAAGTTCTTAGAACATTCCCTGATGAGCCTACAGGCACGCCAGGACGCTTCGCCACTGCTTGGCCCCTCGCCTCCCCCCTGCAGGCTCGCCGCCGCATGGAGACGAGGATGGACCGAGCGGAAGTCCGTGGGGCCCGGCACGTGCAGGGCCCCCTCGAGCCCGAGCGGCCGCGTGCGGGTCGGGGGGGGGGGGGGGAGCGCGAGTGAGGAAACCAAAAAGGCACCGATACCGCTGCTCCCCGGAATCCAGCGGTGGCGACGAGGGCCTCGCAGGAGGCCCACAGAGGGGAAAATGCGGGACGGGTAGCGGTACGGGCACCTCTTCCTCCTCTGCGCGAGGAGCTCTCCCGGGCCCGCTTTCCGGGCACGGCCGACCACCGAGAGAAGAGCGGAGTCCAACGACGGCCACGCCCTGGGGGGGCTGGCCAGAAGACCGCGGCGGCGGGCCCCGCCGCGGCGGCGAGAAGCCTCCCCCGGGAGGCCTCCAGGGAGGGCCAGGGGCGCACGGGGACCTGGGCACTGGTGCCCAGGGAGAGCCAGAGGCCCAGGGGGGGCCAGGGAGGGCCAGAGGGCCAGGGAGGGCCAGAGACACTGGAGAGCGGTTGGAGGATGAAATATAACAGTTCGCGGAACGTCACGGCGAAGCCACGGGGGGTGGAGGGCAGAGATGTGGTGCACCTCCGAGGTTAGGATGGCGGCAGGCCCCTGGTGCCCACCTCTGGTTGTCGAAGGGCCTGTGGTACCAGTCGCTGCCCACTCCGCCCCCTCCACAGGGGCTTCGCACCGCCCTCTACGGTGGGGAGATGGGTGACGCCCCCCCCCCCCCCGGGCGTCGCACGTACTACGCCAGGGGCGACCCAGCCCTAATAAAGGGGCCCAGACACAGACACAGACACAGACACAGACACAGACACAGACACACAGATTTATGTCGTCGTCGTCGTCGTCGTCGTCGTCGTCGTCGTCGTCGTCGTCGTCTTCGTCGTCGTCGTCGTCGTCGTCGTCGTTGTCGTCATCGTCGTCCCAAAACGGCCCTAGAGGGCTCCAGGAAACAACTTCGACGACGACGACGACGACGACGACGACGACGACGGCGGCGGTGGCGGCGACGACGACGACTATCTGGACCGCAGCGTCACTAGAGACACATCGGTGCAAGGATCAAGATTAGAAGGCGAAGCGCAGCGAGCCTGAAAATCTCGTATATTTATATGTATGTATGAGCACAAGTCCGAATACTCCCTATATTGCTCCACATTGCCTGGACCTTTGCCCCCCCCCCCGCACACTTCACATATTCTCAATATTTCCGTGGGAATCGTCGATTATTTCTGCTTGTGTGCTCCGTTCCACCTGACATACGGGCGCCCCCAAAGAGAGGAACGGAGGGAGAGGCACCGCCCCCCCGGGGCCGTGCGACAAAATCTATCCATATCCACTGCTCCCCGGCCAGGCCCATCCTCAAATCAGCAGCGGTGTATACGCCTCGCCCTCCTGGCTCGGCCAGGAGGGCGTATGCGCAGCTCCTGGGTTCAGGGTGGGCCTGGCCAGTGGGGAGCGGTGAATATGTATAGATTTCGTCGCCCGACTTGGGGGGAGGGGGTGGAGAGTGGGGAGGGGTGGGGGGGGGGCACAACCAACGCCTGCACGCTGGAGCATCGGGACCGTGACGAGAGTCAGCACGTGACGCTGGCCCGCAGGACTCTCGTGACGAGTGCTGCCTCGGCGGGGGCCCGCGGCCAGGGTCGGCCCAGGGGCCCCGGGAGTGGCTCGAAGCGTACACCAAGTTGCCCGATCGGCGAAGGAGCTCGGTGTGGAGACGCCCCCGCTTCCGTCGGTTGTGAGGTGCTGGGGCGTCTCACTTACCGAGCTCCTCCGCTGGGGTTCCTCGGCTCCCTGGCTGACGACGCGACGCGGATGCATACTCGGCCGAAAACTGCGTGGCTATGTACGTGAGATGCAGTCATCTTGCGTTGGCAAAGGCAGCACCCGTCTGGCAAGACTTCTAGAACCGTATGTTTTTTTTGTTATGTTGTGGTGCCTGGATAGTCAGTTTGAGAAATGTCCGATTCTCAAGATGAAGACCCCGACTCAACAGTCCAGGATCTTTGATCCGACTGCCCTTGACGCAGCCCGCTAGGACTCTAGAGGGGAAGAAGGGCCAGCTCAGCGCGGTCGAAATAGGGGTCAGCCTCCGCCCTCGCGCTAACGCAGAAGTAACGGACGCAGCCCTTCTCAGATCGAAGTCCCCAAAAAACATTACTGACTTTTGCAACGGAGAAATATTTGGTGCGCATAGGGGGCCCACCCTCCCAGCAGTACATCCACCTCTTGGACACAGCAACGATCACTCCCGCGGGCTTCTACCCGCGAAGCCGAGGCCCTCCCTCCAGCCCCCCGGATGCCATGCTTCTTTCAACTATCATAACGTCGACCCCGAGAGGTCTCGACCCAGTCCCTGGGACCGTTTTTTTAATCCCGAGTCGACTTCTTACTGTCCCCAGGCTCGGCATAGGCCCCCAAAGGCTGAAAAGATAGAGTCGTGATTGCGAAGGCCTTGAGGCAGGTGCCGCCGATCCTGGAGGGCGACCCATGCGTTCTCTAATGTGGCGGGGGGGGCCTCTTGGGGCTTCCTGGGGGCCTGTTGGGGGTCTCGTGGTGGCCTCTTGGGGGCATCTTGGGGCTTCCTGGGAGCCTCTGTCGCCGAGGGCTCGTCGGGCCCCCCGTCTGGGCACCCTGTTGGAACCGTTTGGGGAGCCTCTGGGGCCATCTTGGAGGCATCTTGGGCGGTCTTGAGGCTCTCTTGGGTCATTTGGGGGCTCTCTTGAGGGCTCTTGGGCAATCTTGCGGCAATCTTAGGGGCATCTGGGGCCGTCTTGGAGCGTCGGCAAGTTGAAACGGCGAGAACGCCAAAATCTGTCAAAAACTTTAGGGAAATCATTGAATTTTCCCTCTTCGTGCCCTCTTTGGAGTGCTATTGGAGACCACCTGGAGCGTCTTGGCAATCTCATGGGCCGTCTGGAGGCTACTCTGGCGTCTTCGACCGATGGTTCGGCGATTCGGGGCCCTCTGGAGCCGTCTTGGAAGCCTCTTGGGGCACTCTTGGCCAGTCTGGGGGCTTTTCTAGGTCCCGGGACATCCCGGGGGGGATGCGTATCTGCCCCCTCCCCCCGGGACCCCCCCCCCGGGACACCCCCCTGGGACACCCCCCGGGACCCCCCACCCCCCCCGGCGGGGAAGGGATCAAAGGGAAGGGCTTCCCTTCGACTCAGCTACGACGTTGCTCAATTTCGCTTTGCCTTCGACTCAGCTACGACGTTGCTCGATTTCGTTTCGGTTTCGCTTTGGCTGGCGCGCCTGAGGGGAGGGCGACGACGACGACGACGACGACGACGACGACGACGACGACGACGACGAACGGAAGAGCATCGACGACGACGACGACGACGACGACGACGACGACGACGGCGACGACGACGACGACGACGACGACGACGGCGACGACGACGACGACGTTCACGACGAACGGAAAAGCATCTTCCACACGCCGACAAGGTCGGTCGGCGGATGACGGGAAGCGCGCACGAGGAACGAGGAGCGTGGACCGTTTTTCTTAAGGACAAACCTGTATATGGGGCTCCGGATGACGGGAAGCGTCTTCGAGGTACGAGAAGCAAGCGGGACGTTCTGGCTGAATCCTTGTGTAAATATATATATATATATATATCTTTATATCTATGGGTTGCGGGGGCGCACGGCGCCGTTCGTTGGCGGATTCCCCAAAATGGCCATTTCGCTCGAGACATCCTCGAAAAATCGAGGTGTTGGAGGCTATCGTTTAAGACGTCGTATGTCAAAAATGAGGGTTTCGCTCGAGACATCCTCAAAAAATCGGGATGTTGAAAAATATTAAAAATTTTTGTTATGCATGAAAAATGAGCGTTTCGCTCGAGACATCCTCGAAAAAATGAGATGCCGACAGAGGTGTTTTAGAACCTTTTATGTCAAAAAAAGGCGTTTTCGATCGGGACGTCCTCAGAAAATGAGCAGGTGGTCTGCCGTGCTCGAGGCTATCGTTTAAGACGTCGTATGTCAAAAATGACGGTTTCGCTCGAGACATCCTCAAAAAAACGGGATGTTGAAAAATATCAAAAATTTTTGTTATGCATGAAAAATGAGCGTCAAGCTCGAGACATCCTCGAAAAAATGAGATGCCGACAGAGGTGTTTTAGAACCTTTTATGTCAAAAAAGGCGTTTTCGATCGGGAAGTCCTCAGAACATGAGCAGGTGGTCTGCCGTGGTCTGCCGTGCTCCCGTGTGGAGCACGGCAGACCACGGCCATTTCGCTCGAGACATCCTCCTAAAATCGAGGTGTGGTCTGCCGTGCTCCTGTGTGTCGTGTCGTGCGGGGCCTATGAAGGCTAAAAGAAGCCCGAGGCCCACGGAGCCCATTGGCCCCAGGGCCTCAAGGGCCAGCCCTGGGGGCCCGAAAGGGGCCACCGCAGGGGGGGCGCGGAGCGCCAGACGCCCGCCAGGGCCAACGGGGGCGCCTGGGCCCCGGGGCCACGGGGGCGGGCAGTGCCGAGAGGCAAGCAGAAGCAGCGAAGCTGCACAGAAGAGCTCACGTACACATTCAAATACAAGAAATGCGAATGCACGGAGCAAACGGAATTAGCGTCCGCACGCAAGGCAAGCAGCGAAGCTGCACCGGTTGATAGCTCACGTACACATACAAATACAAGAAATGCGAACGCACGGAGCAAACGGAATTAGCGTCCGCACGCAAACTGGACGACCTGCAGGCGGCTTTCGAGGATACGCTCACGCTCCTCGGCATCTGGCCAGCCTGCAGTGCTGGGGCGGACGCCGAGAAAGCGGGCCTCGGCCGAGCTCAGGAGTGCCTCAACTCCCGTCTTGGGCCCAATGGCCACGCACAGCACCGCCGCCACCGAGAAATCGTCCAGGAAGTAAAACAAGCTCTCGCTGAACGCGTGGCGGGAGGCCGGCTTAGAGAGCACCTCCCGCTCGCCCTTGGGCTCGGTGCCCTCCTCCAGCGCTCCCTGCCGCTCGGACAGCGCCGCCAGGTCGCCCTTCTGCGAGACCAGCTGCTCGGAGGTCGCCTCCTGCGCGCACGGCCGCTGCAAGAGCACCTCCAGCTCGCCCCTGGCCTCGGCGCCCTCCTCGAGCGCGCCCTGCCGAACGGACAGCGCCGCCAGGTCGACCGGCAGCTCGACCGTGGGCTCGGCGCCCTCCTCCAGCGCGCCCAGCCGCCCCGAGGGCGCCTCCAGCTCGACCGTGGGCTCGGCGCCCTCCGCGAGCGCGCCCTGCCGCTCGGACAACGCCGCCACGTCTCCCTTCGGCGGGGCAAGCTGCTCCGAAAGCGCCTTCATCTCGGCCTCGGCCTCGGTAGAATGCACCAGCGCGCAGCGCCGCTGCGAGAGCACCTGCATCTCGCCCCTAGGCTCCGCGCCCTCCTCGAACGCGCCCTGCCGCTCGGACACCGCCGCCGCGTCGCCCGCCAGCGAGCAAAGCTGCTCCGAGAGCGACTCCAGTACGGCCTTGGGCTCGGCGGTGTCCTCCAGCGCGCACAGCCGCTGCGGGAGCGCTTCCAGCTCGACCGTGAGCTCGGCGCCCTCCTGGAGCGCGCCCTTCCGCCCAGACAGCTTCGCCAGGGCGCCCTGCAGCAAGCCGAGCTGCTCCGAGAGCGCGGAGCTAAGCGGCGTGCGCCTCGCGTCGGCCGCCTCTGGCAGCTCACGTCGCGGCGGGGCCGGAGGGGAGGGCCGCGCGGGCACCTCGCACTCGCAGATCTCGACCTCGCACACGACGGCGGCCGCCGCCCCCCGGCCGAGCACGCCTCCAAGGCGCGGACCCGCCGCGGCCCAGGCCAAGCCAGCCCGCGGTGCCGCCGCAAACCCCGCTGCAGGCGCACGAGCCGCGTGCAAGGCCGTGTTCCGGCGGAATCTCACGGTCCCTGGCACGGGCCGGCCGCCAGCGGCCAGGATCAGGGCGGGCCGCGCGGCCGCCTCCCTGTCCTGCCACGAGCCAGGCTCGGCAGCAGGCACGCCACCCGCGAGGCCCGCGATGACCTCCCTGAGGCGCGCGACCTCCTTCTCCAGCTCGCCGGCGCGCGCGCGGGCGTGCCGCACGGCCGCGTCGGCCGCGGCACGGGCTCGCCGCGCAGCCTCGCTGCGCTCGCCGCGCGAGCGGGGGAACCGCGGAGGGTCCCCTCCCGTCGCCATCGCTCCCAAGCACACGCTGCGCGCGCGCGCCCGAGCAGGCTTGAGCCAAAATGGCTACGGACCGTGCTCCTGTGTGGTCTGCCTTGCTCCTGTGGTCTGCCCTGCTCCACACAGGAGCACGGCAGACCACAGGAAGGAACCGAGAGGAGCACGGCAGACCAAGACGAGGAGCACGGCAGACCAGGCTTAGGAACCGAGAGGAGCACGGCAGACCAAGACGAGGAGCACGGCAGACCAGGCACCAAGAGCGCCCTCAAGACGACGGAAAGGATGACCAAGACGAGGAGCACGGCAGACCAAGACGAGGAGCACGGCAGACTATGCCCTAAGAGTGCCCTCAAGACGGCCGAACAACGGCAGACCCCATAGGATCACGGCAGACCACAGAAGAGCACGCCAGACCAACAGGAGCACGACAGACCACACAAGAGCACGGCAGGCCACACAGGAGCACGGCAGACCACACAGGAGCACGGCAGACCACAAAGGAGCACGGCTGACCACACAGGAGCACGGCAGACGCCACAGGAGCACGGCAGACCCCACGGGAACACGGCAGACCACACAGGAGCACGGCAAACCACACAAGAGCACGGCAGACCATACAGGAGCACGCCAGACCACACAGGAGCACGGCAGACCACACGTTCGCACGGCAAACTCCACAGGAGCACGGCAGACCCCAAAGGAGCACGGCAGTGGTACGTGGCACTGCTGTGGTATGCCGTACTAAAAACGTGGAATATCTCATAAGCCCAGGGGACAAAAGGACGCTTCCCGTTCTTGTCCGGTCAGGTTGCATCGCGGCCGGGCGTTGGCGGATTTCTAAATTGGCCGTTTCGCTCGGGACATCCTCTAAAAAATGGAGTTGGCGTTGGCTCCAGGCCGCCTTTGTGTTCAGATCGCTCTTGGAGCGCCCAAGAGGGTCCCTAGAAGGCCACAGGACGGCTCCAGGGGGCCCGCATGACGGCCCCAGAGGCCTCCAAGAGCACCCCCAAGAGCCCAAGAGGGCCCAAGAGGCCAAAATCGTCAAATTCCTATGGGAAAAACGTATATGTTTAATATATACGACTTTCTCGTCTTCACGGCGTCGAAGACGGTCCAAGAGTCCCCCAAGACCGACCCGCGACGGCCCAAGAGACTCTCAAGAGGCGCCCAAGACGGCCGAAGAGGGCGCCAAGACGGCCCAAGCGGCTCCCAAGAAGGCCCACGAGGGTCCCAAGAGGGGCCCAAGAGAGTGAGCCCGAATCGAAAATCGGAGCACCCGCCCAAAGACGGCCCTAGGAGGCCCCAGGAGGCGCCCAAGAGGTCCCAAGAGGCCCCCGAGAGGCCCCCAAGACGCCCCAAAAAGCCCCCAAGAGGCCCAAAAGAAGCCCCGACGGTGCCCGGACAAAAAGTGTCCACACCCAGGGCGGTAAGACACTGCGACGTGATAACAACCGCAACAGCATGATGCACTTGCCTCGCACCCCTCCCCCCCAAAACCCAAAGTTGAAGTGTCCACATTTTGTCCCTGGCGCGCGGCCTGCCGCCTAACCCCGCCAACTTTGAGTTGGGGGAAAGGGGGGTATACATATTCGTTCGACGTGATTTGACGACGAGTTGTCTTGGCGCGACAAGTGTGGACACTTTTTGCCAGCCCACCGTGGTTCTTATGCTCTTGATCGGTGCTACAATACGGCGAGGGCATTTTTTTATCTATGTGGGCGCCGAGCGGGCTCGGCGGTTTCATGCATAAATTCTCCAATCAGCGCGCGGCTAGCCCCGCCGCGCGGCGTGCGCGGGCGGCCGCCGACCCCGCGGCTCTCTCGCGCCCGCGGGCCGCCGCAGCAACTGCGAAGCCGCGGGCGCAGAGGGCGCCCTCGAGCCCTGGGCGGACCTGCCGCGGCTCTTCGGCCTCCGCCCGCGGGGCCGCCGCGACCAGGCGCCGCGGCGCCGCGGCGCACGGCGGCGCAGCCGCCTGGCCCCCATCGCCAGCCGCAGGTGGCGGGGGCGGGGCGGCCGCAGGCTGCCGCTGCGATGGCACGGGCGCCGCCGCGAGCGCCTGCTCCTCCGCCCCGTGGCCCAGCCTGGCCTGGAGCGCCGTCGCCCAGCATAGGCGCGTGCTCTCCATCGGCGGGGCCAGCGGCGCGAACGGATCCTTGGACGCAGGCAGGGTGCCCCGTGCGAAGTCCGTCCGCGCCTGGGCTCGGGAGCCCCTCAGGGACGTGGGCTGCCCAGCCGCCGCGCTGGCCCCACACGGCATGGCCAGGCCGCGATGCGCGCACCTGGGGAGGCGGCAGTGCCCCCAGCACGCTGAGCAGACCAGGGGGGGCTCGGAGCCGTTGCCCTCGACGCGCGACCCCCGTATGAGGTGGCCGTAGACCCTCAATCCCGCTGGACGGGCCGCGTCAGCCGCCACCTCAGGGGCTGGGCCGCTGCAAGCCGCCGCTGCCGCCGCCCGCCGCGGGCTGGGCGCGGGCGCCGAGGCCTCGCGGCGCCTCGACTGCACCTGCACCCTGCGCTGGGGTGCTCGGCGCAGCACCTCCGCGGGCCTATCGGCCGAGGCGGGGCGGCGCCTCGCGGGCGACGGCCGCGAGCAGGAAGCGGCCGCTGCCGCCACTGCTGCCAGGGCCGCCGCCGTGGCGAGGAGGGGGCCGCCGTCAGCCGCCGCTGCCTGCGCCTCGCCGTCGCCAACGTCAGCCTCCGCGACGGGCATCTGCATGTTGCCAGCCGCTGACACGACAGGCCCGCGCACCTCCGCGTCGTGCAACTTCGCGAACTCGCCGCGCCCCTGGGACTGCGACTTCGGCGGGCTGAATCCACCTGTCCCAGGGGCGGGCTCCGCCGCGGCGGCGTGCAGGAAGACGACCTCGCCGTCGAACTCTGCCACCAACTCGGCAGCTCGCAGCAAGTCGGCGGGGCTGCGACCATGCCTCCAGCCCCCCCAGGCAGGGCACCTGCGGTGGCGGCGGGCCAGGGTCCCGCTCTCCTCGCCGCGGAGCTGGCACAGAGTCGCAGGCCTGGCGTCGTGCTCCTGGACCGCTGCCTCCTTCAGGGCGAAGCAGCAGCCGAACTCGTCCTGCTGGTAGTCGCCGTCGCCGTGGAGGCCCCTGTGTGACGTCAACGCTCTTTCGATCGCCCGCAGGAAGGCCTGCCCTTGCACAGTGGGCACCTGGGTCACCTCTTTCAGCGAGACGAGCTTCTTGTCTTCGAACGCGGTGCTGCCCGCCTGCTCGAACTTGTGCCCCAAGCTCCTGGCCACCTGCACCAGGTGCTTCATGTAGCCTACGTGCCCCACAGGGGGTGAGCAGCCCGCAGCAGCCGCTCTGAGCTGTCTGGCGATCCTCCCGAGGCGGAGGCGGCAACTGGTGAGGGGGCCGAGCTTCCTGACCGCCTTCCTGCGCTGCTGGTCCGCCAGCTTCTTCTTGACAGAGCGGGGTCCTTTGGCCCTGCCCTGGTACCACTCACCCTCGGAGATGCCGAACTGGTCGGTCAGGTGGAGCTCCGCGGTCTCGACGGACTCCTTGAGCCTCCTGAACGGGATCTCGAGGTAGGCGCTGGCCTCCGTGACCGCGAGATCACCGAAGGCCACCCTTCGGGCCAGGATGCGGGCACTGCGCTGGTGCCCGTCGTGGTCGGTCGCCGCCGCGCCCCAGGTCGTTGACTCCAGCACTCCGACGCCCTCCGAGCCCGCCTGCGCCGCCTGCCCCGTGCTGTGGACGCTGCCGAAGGCGGCGCTGAAGCTGTTGCTCCTGGCCCAGCAGCAGGCGTTGGCCGCCTTCTGGCTATAAGCGCATCGCCTCTCCTGCGCCAGGATGACGTCGTCACCTCCTCCATCCTGGATCCGCTCCATCTCCACCTTCTTCTCTGACCAGGTCGAGACGTTCAGCGTGGCGAAGCTAGTTGGCTTCGGTCCCGTAGGCCTGATTTGCTTGGCCAGCTGGAGGGGCTTGGCCTGCGGTCGCCCAGGCCGAGGCTTGGCCGCAGGCTGCTCGGTTGCCGCGGCGGCCGCGGGGCCGCCAGGCGGGCGGCTGCTCGCCGCCTTGGGGCTCCGAACCTCAGGGGGTCCCACGCCCTCGCCCGTAGCCTCGTCAACTTGAATTGGGTACCCACTATGGCATGTGGGCCCCTGGCTGGGCTGAGGACTGCCTGTCCTTCGGTCGGGCCCAGCCAAGCCAGCCGCAGCGCTTGGCTCTGTCCTGCTGCTGAGCGCCTCGAACTTGGCGTCGTGGCGCACGACGCCGACGCGCCGTTCCTGGCGCAGCAGCGGCACAATGAAGGGAAGTTCGACCCAGGCGTCGGTCGCCACGTTGGCCGCCTTGTAGGCGGGCAGGCCACCCCCCGGCGCCGCCGCCGCCTCTGAGCGGCTGGGCGCCGCCGCCTCTGTCCCCTCAGCCCCGACAGGGGCGGGCGGCGCCGCGCTGTCGGGGCCGCCGCCCGGCAGCAGGGTGCTACGCGCGGGCCAGGCCGCTGCCAGCAGCAGCGCCAGCCGGAGGTGGAGGGGCCGCCGCAGCGGCCTTCTGGTCGGCAGCGCGCTGGCGGGCCGCCTCGTCTGCCGCTCGGCTCTCCATCGCTGCCGCTGGGGGAGTCCCAGCTCCAGGCGCAGCGTCAGCGGCGGGGGCGGCGGGGGCAGCAGGGGCGGCCGCCTGCCCTGCAGGCTGCGGCGGGGCGCCCGCGCCCTGCACGGGGGTGCCAGGGGCCACGGCTGCTGCATGCCCCTCCTCGGTGCGCTTGCGCTTCTTGGCCACCTCCTCCGCGATCTGGCGATTGATGCGCTGCTGGTGCTCCTGGCAGTTGCGCTCGAACGTAGCCTGCGCGCCCTGCATGATCTGGAGCCCCTCATCGCAGAGGCGCCTGAGGGCGGCCTGTGCCTCCTCCTCCAGCTCGGCGAAGTTGTCAAACGACTCCGCGTCAAAGTTGAAGGTGAGCTGCCTCGCGCCGTCGGGCTGGGATCCCACGACGCCCGCCGCTTGGGCACGCTGGCGCAGGAGGGCGTTCTCCTCCTCCTTGGCCTCCGCGAGGCTGCCCGCAGCCTCGTCACGCCAGCCGCGGCATTCAGCGAGGTGGTCCTCCGCCGC